AGCTGTCCTAGAAAAGGGCCTTAGTTCTCTTAAAGATGTTTTCTTTAATTACTTGGCTGAACTCTCATACAGGCCAAGAAAGCTGGGAATCTCTCAGAAGCGGAAGAGCCGCAGGAAGGGGCAAGGTAGGGACAAGGACAGTATCTGTGTCTAACCAGTGATCCCTGAAGCCCACCATGCTATGTGGGGCCCCTGTATGGCACTGCAGGAGGCCACACCTGAGCCCTGGTTGGCTGAATGCCGTGTCAAGAGATGTGGTTCTAATTCCAGCCAAAGTGGTAATATTGCATGCTTTGGCGGTACAGTAGTGAGCATAGCTGCTTTCCAAAGTGGTAGTATTAATCATTTCCATATGAGTAGTTCCTGGGGCCATTTATTTCTACCTCAATTTTAAGATAAAGGGAGCTTCTCTTCCAGTCTCAGAGTAAAATATAAGTAAAAGCGCACACACACACACACACACACACACACACACACACACACACTTTCCTCTCTTCCTTCAAAGTCTATGGTTGCCAGTAGTATCTTTCTCCAGTTGCTCTGCATCCATCCATTCTCAGTTGTCCATTAATCTAAAATTGTATCTTCAGCAGAAGGTCTAGGGCTGAACAGCCTTGGGAAGGAAGAGAAGGAAGTTCTGCATTTGCTAAAGCTGCCCCATACACTGCTTTGTCCCTGCTCCTATACCACCTCTGGAGCTTCTCTGCTGCTTTCTTCACCTCTGCACTGCACCCAGCACAGCCCAGGGAACTCCCGTGAAATGCAGTCAATGCACTGTCCAGTATGGCCTGTTTTCCCCACCAGTAGCACCTCTGCAGGGGTGCTTCACTGGGCTCAATTTAGGAAGAAGGGTGGGAAGGGACTTCTACTCAGCCAGCCCCTTACTCTCCTTCGCCAAACTCATCATCACAATTAGCTGTCAAACTATTAGAAAGTTCCAAAGAAAGTGGAGATCGATGCTGCTAGGTGGTGGGGTAGAAGAGCAGTCTGAAGAGACAGGAGTATGACTGCAGAGGATGCCAGGGGAGATAGAAATCCAGGATACAGCAGAGGGTATTGGTAGAGCAAAGACAAGCAAATTCATTTCCAGAGCTGGTGGCTGGCTGGCTTGTGCATCTGAGGACATAAGCCTTAGCCCAAGGGGCCCTTGTCCCATCCCAGACTCTCTAGATCTACTTTCAATTTTTCTAATATTCTTAGTTCCTTCCCTGCTGGGCACCTTTCCTCAGTTCCAGGAGCTACCATCAGCTGCCACTGCTTGCCACAAATTATAGATACGTGTGGAGAAACAGGGTTCCCAAGTCGCCTGCTGGAAGAGGAAACATGTTCCTTGCATATCTAGTTGTACTCTGAAGATACTTTCCCTTAGATACAAGGTCGTACATATTTGGCCTCTGAAGTACTTTTTAGTATACTACACCTGTTACGGGATTAGGAAGCACTCTAATCAATGTGGCAGTGTTGCCTTATGACGTGGGTACTCTTGTTGCCCTGCTGGAGCACATATCCCTAGCTGCAGTGAGTGTTGGTTGCTCTGAGATTTTCCTTGGCTCCTGGAGCAACAGAAGCTCTTTAGACCACACATCCACTGTCCATGAGTGACTGATAATGAACGTGCAAAAGGCTGGCCTCCTTACCTTAAGGGAACCAACTTTCTAGTTTAATTCCTGCTCTAGAGTTCCTTTTGGATCAGGCCTGAACTGGTCTCTGGCAGGGACTAGGTCCTTCTTCTGCTTTATCCCCGATCCATGCTACCTCCTTTATTCCCTCTCCCAAATTCCTGTCTTGGGCTCTGCTTCCAAGGAACCTGACCAACACATGAGCTTTAGAAGCCTGTTATTTTCACCAGAACCATCAAATGTGTCTATGGGGAAAGCAAGGATGAAATGAGAGTAGCTGGACAGGATCCCGTCTTAGTTACCTTCTTGTTCCTGGGACACAATATTTGACACCCATAACTTAAGGAAGAAGAGGTTTATTTTGGCTCATGCTTATAGTTCATGGTCAGCTGGGTCCAAGGCAGAAAATGGCATGATAGAGGTACATGGAAGAGGAAAAGCTGCTCATTTCAAGGGGATCAAGAGACAGAGAGAGAAGGGAAGAGCCAGGGAGGAAGGCGGTAACCTACCTCTCTGGACTAACCCTACCTCCTAGAAGCAATCCAATCATCTGCTACAAGGTGCATAGCTTCCGCAGTCCAATCATCTGCTACAAGCTCCATTTCGAAGCTTTGGAGGGACAGTCCAGATACAAACCACAGCAACCCTCAAGTCAAACTTGGACATACAACCCAACTCAATTTATAATATGACTAAGATGATAGCTGTATTTGATCCTTGCTGATACAAATGGACCACATTCTATCAAACCCAAAAATGAAGGATGATTTAATTATACTCTAAGCTAGTTGTTTTAGTATAGATTATGAGTTATTGCACTCATTAAAAGAATTAGCTACATGACATTTATTATAGCCAACATATTTGTTACAATTCTTAAGAATGTGGCTGAGTACTTATAAATTTTTTCATAATAATTATTCTGGTCATGATAGTATAAATCTAACACTTGGAAATCTATTGTTTTAGGGTTTTTTGTTTCCTGTCTTTGTTTTTCCTCCATGAACTTTATGCTTTGCTACTGAGAATATCTGGATCCCTGATAAGGAGGCTCTGGTCAATCTAGCAATGCTATAAAATAGATCAGATTTCCCAGTATGCAACTAATAAAAATGTAATTAAATACATGAAGACAAAGCAGAACATAATTTAATCTTTCTGCTATGATTCAGAGGTCATATCAGGGTCATCACTATAAACCTCAATTATAGTACTGCAGAAGTGCAGGAAGATTGGTAAGTGCACTCAGCTTGAAAGAATGCTGGACAGACCAGATTTTACTGCCTGTATTTATAAGGATACAACTTCATAACATCTGGTACCTTCTCCACTGTTTCCTCACAATATTCTTAACTACAGTAGGTTCTAGTAAAATCCCCCACATTAATCTCAGCTAATTAAGTCTTTAATTTTCATGGGATTATCCTCTTTAAAATCTTCTACCGAAAGAAGGATCCAATCTTATTTGAAATCCTGTTTCTTAATATATTTGGGTATATTCCTTTTGGTATAAAAGGCCATGGTTTCTATTTACACCAGTTGGCTACTATGTTTGAATTTCATTAAGTGACTTACTTACTATTTTTCTCTCACATAAAAGAAATTCAAAGATACACAGTTCAGAGTTCTTAGGATGGCTGGTTTCATCTTTCTGCTGTCTTTCTTAGCATATGACTTTTGGCAAGATAATTTTAATGCCACAAGATTGTTGCTATAGCTTCAGCTATCACATCCATGTACCAGGCAGAAATAGGGCTTGAATCAGTCTTATCAGTACCCCAATATCAGCACACAAAGAACTTTTCTGGGAGTTTTACACAACACACAAATTCTATTCACAAACCATTGGCATATCTAGTTACTACCATCTACAAAGGTTATAAAATGAAACTTTTTAACTGGGCACAAAAGCAGTCTTCCTACTAAGAAGGAAGAGGGAGAAAAAAGGAATTGAATAGATATAACTTGCCTCGTTTTCCTTTCTTAAAGCATGTTTCCTTATAGGGATTTTGAGTTCACTAAAGGTCAAGATTATGTCATGTTCATTTTTGTAATCCCAGTTTATTTTTTAAATTATGATATTAATTGAAAGAATGAAAATCTCAGTTGACTATAATACAAGAGTAAAGTATAAAGAGGAGTAGGTAGTGTTATTCAATTTATACTGTTACTCATTCATCTAACTTTTATTTCAACTAATACCACTTGAGGTTCTAGTCTGACCCAGGCAACAGAGACCCAGGCTTGAAGAAGGGGACAGGCCAAGGCTGAGGCAGGACAGTGGGGGTTCTGCATGTAAATACCAATTTCAGCAAAAAGTTACAAAAATCTGGATCACCATTTGAGGTCAGGAAGTTTTAAGTTTATTATGGGTAAAAAACAAACTGTGAGAGTGAGGGAGAGGAGGACAAGTAAGGAGAGACAGATAATAAAGAGCCTTGTAAATTATATTCAGAAGTTCATAATTTTCCTGCCAGTACTATATACTTATCAGTCTTAACAAACTTCCATGTCTACCCCCAACCCAGACTTCCTCATGAATAATTTGCCAGTACTGTGCCCTGACAGATTCTGACTTACTCATGATCCCTGTTTCTGGGCACAAGCACTTTGGCAACTTGGTATGTAGTCACGCCTGTGTTCCAAGGAACTTACTGAGCACATGGTGCAACTGTCCTCTCAGCATCCTCTCTAACAAGTTGGCGTCCCTTGATGGGTCACTGTGGAAAATTCTAGTCGAGGCACATATTTCTCAAACTTGGTGAAAGGGTTCCACTGGACATAATAAACAAGTGGCCAAGGATTTCAAAAGACAGGGATTATCCCCAAGACCTGCAGATGTAAGTAAGGCTTTCTTAGTATTAGCACTCTGGTTTCAGTTGCATGGGTCATGGGATGAACGCAGATTTAGTTGAGGTAACAAGTCACCATTTCGGCCATCTTACAACAAACCAGTAATCCCACTGATGATCTGGCAAGTGATGAAGCCACTTGTCATCTTTTCCTACAAGTGCTTCAATACCATTCAGTCTCTAACACACAGTTAGAACTATATCCACATCAATTTCTACTCTCAGAGAGAGGTCCACCTTACAGTAGAAGAGAGACAGAAGGGAAAGCAGAGAAAGACAGAGAGAAGGAATGAAAGGGCAAGGGGAGAGAGAAAGGTGTTCTGTTGTTGGCCATGAGGAAGGAACCACAAACTAAGGGATGCAGGTGGTACACAGAAGCTGGAAAGGCAAGCAAACAGATTCTCCCCTCCAATTTCCAGAAGGACCATAGCCCACACCTTGATTTTAGATTTCCAATCTCAGGACTGTAAGATAGTAACTTCTAACTTTAACCATCAAGTTTGTGATACAGTAGGAAACTATGGCTTACATGGTTCATCTTCAGGTATCACTTCCTGTTTGTTTCCACTGCTGTCCACACTGGTCTCTCTTTTGGATTTACCTGCCTTTTTAATCCACCTTCTCAAGGTCTTTTGCTGAAAAATGAAATCTGATTATATCACAGGCTTTGAAGGGTTTGGATACTCTCACCCACTCTTACTTAGGTGCTTTCCCAGGAACGCAAGTAGAAACAGGAAGTAAGGGTCCTTTACAAATTCCATCAAGGACATTTGGTATAATCTCATGAATGTCCCTCTTAACAGGGATATAATTATGGCTGAGAAAATGTAAAACAAATTACACTATACTCAGAAGAAAGAATGCATTAACTTAATGGGGCTGAAGCAGGCAAGAAATTTTCCTGTTTATCCAGCACAGAAGCAGGTAAATTCCCTGACTTTGGCAACCACCAGTGAAGCATATTCTGGCTTGGAGATGAGGATACCTCACCAGGTACCTGGATCTCAGGAAGAGCTTCTCCTGAACAGTGGCCATGGTTAGTCAATCACAATAAATTTAATTCCATTAAATGCTGGTCAAATGAGTGTTGGCTGTCATGAGTCAGCCCACTTGTCTACCTCTGGATTTGAGATAAAATGGAGGTGGAGATCTTCTTGGTGACCAACAGAAGCTAGACTAAGGCCAAGCTAGGCGATTTTGAATCACTGTATACCAACAACTCTAGTGTTGCCTGCTATCATTCACCCTTGTTTTAGGGACTCCACAGAGGAGTAACTATCACAGCAAACAAATGGAACTAAGTTCTAAGAAAGGAGAGATCAGTCTTTGCAAATACCACAAAGGGCAGAAGAAGACGGAGATTAAATTTTTCCATTAGATTTTGCAGCCGGGTAGTGAATGATGTTCAGTGGAGTGAAAGGTTAACAGGGAATGAGAAATCAGGACACATTCACATTAGGCTAGAAAACCCCTTTAAGAAGATTCTAGTAGTTTAAGGAAGGGGCTGCCTACAGATTCACCTTTAAATCATAGTCCCTTAGGTTTTGCATTTGCATAGAGATCTTTTCTCCCCACATCTTCCCAATGTTAACTTGCCAGGTCAAATCTTACTACACTCTCTCCTCGGTCTACCTGTGAGGCAGAGGAACTAACAGCTGTGGAGTAACTAAAGGTCAAAACGCAAGAAATGAAGGGTCCAAAAACAACTAAAACTAAACTCAAAACAAAACAGGTCCTGAGTCAGATGAGCTGTAACAAGTTGTGGGTCAAATTTAATATCCTTGTTAGGATAACAACCAAGTGCCTAGGAATTAAGGGGGGGCATTTTATAATTGGAATGCTTTCTTCCATCCCAACCATTATCTGCACCCCATCTCCCTTCAAATTAATAGCTGCCGCTGAGTTGTGGGCATGTGTGGGCACAAGCCTGGACCAAAAACTGAATTTTGTCCAGTGGCTAGAGTAATTGCATGACATTAAAAGGAAAAAAATGAAAAGTGAAAAACAAGAGACATCTGCACTTCCAGATGAAAGTAGCGATTTCCTTCCTTGATTATATGCTGTTTTAAGGGGGGGGGTGAATCTGAGCCCAGCTCTTCCTAAACTTTTGTTACTCACATCTGATTCATTCGCGTTTTTTTCCCTCGTCTTCTGCCTTGCTCATGCTTGCTGCTAAGGGGGACGCTGAATCACAGCTACTCCAGAGGAAAAGCAATTCAAACCAGTCCTTGGGGACAGAAAGGCTTTCTTTTTCTTTTTTCCACCCCCTTTTCAGTCTGAGGAAAAAACCCGCCACTCTCTGTAGTGACCGCCGAGGGCGGGCAGTTCTACAA